CAAATTTGTCTTCTTTAAATCATTCATACCACTTGAAACTTAGTAACCATTCAATGCCACTCCCATATCAATAGTTTGGTGTTCATCTTTCTGGGCTCCCTCTATATATTTATATGTAAATATGTTTTGATAGTTACATATGTCTTATATTTTAATATCAGTAACTTCATAATAACCTTTCATTTAAAACTTAACCATATATGTTATTTATTTGACTTTAATATTTTTTATTATTCAATTACAGTTTAACCATATGTCTTAGAATATCACTTTTACTTCTTGATTTTTAAAGATGGTAAAATGTTTCATACTGTAGATGAACCATAGGTTTTGAAGTTTTTAATAGAGGATCACTAGTGATTCTTATTAGAGGATTACAACCCAAACTGTACTCGGAAACTTCAGGCATTAGGACAAGCAGGGAAAGGGGATGTTGGGAAGCATCTGGGGGTATATAGTACAGTTCAGTGTTTAGTACCTCAGACTTGAATCTAAACTGTCTGGCTTCTGGTCCCAGGTGCAATGTTTACTGATAAACTTGAGTAAGTCAAATTCTGTGGTTGGTTTTGCTCTCTAAAAGATGTGGGTACTGTTTACTTCAGAGGTGATAATGAGGATCCTAATCACAGTGCATATGAAAGAAAAAGCCTGGGACGTAGTAGGGACACATTAAATGTAACTATTATTCTGTTTGTCACTTTTGCCTAGCCACACTCAAACACTTTCTATTTCAAGGGAGTTTTTAAATAAAGGTCTTGCTTTCATTGTGGAGAAACTCAAGTTGGGTGGATATTTCCGGCCCTCCCCCACCTCGCTTTGGCAGTTCAAGCCTGTGACCTGGGATCAGTCAATTTAGAGGTCAGTTATGCAAAATACACAAGAGTTGACACCTCAGGGTTGCTTGTAAACACAGTAGGTCTTCTAACTGGAAGGTTCCTGTGGTGCCCTCTACCTGTGACCTCAGCTTGCCTTGGTCAGACTTGTTTCCTGACATGTGGGTTGATTCTCTGAGCAGCCTGGTACCCGTCCAACAAATCCCACTTTCTCTTTAAGGAGAAAATTTGGTTTCTATAGTTTACAACTAAGGAACTTGATGATGCAGTATCCCCTCTGTATCCTTCTTTAATCTCACTATTCACTCAAAATATTTATTGAGGACTGTCTGTGTCTGACAGGAATGCTAGAGCCTGTGATATTGTTCCTCTTTAACAAATTCAAGGACATGCCTAGAAAAAATACATTCACACTAGGATACCCTGACCCAACTGCAATGCATTTTTGGACCTGTCACTGGATTTAGGACATTTTTATGAGTTGGAATCATGAGGTTGCTTATTTATACACACGCTTTGGGGGGAAAGTCAATTGTAAGGTAAATGGGAAGTTAAATGGCTATTTATCACTCTTTTAAAAAGAGGTTTTTCTAAAAAAAATCTGATGAAACAATTTTGCATGTAGGAAAACCATATAAACAGGTGTTGTTCAGGAGTAATAATGTGGTAATTTCTGTATGAGTTTCTATGGAAACTATCCATCAAATTGACATTGGATTATTCTGCATAGAACAGTCTATCTATTAACAAAGGCTTCTGCCTGAAGTAATACCATCAGCCTACAAGGCTCTTTCCTTCTGACTCAATTCAAACCCAGCTTCTCATCAACTAAAAGAGAACCTCAGGTTAAATCTCCTTATATAACTATTTTTTAATCTCAGCTCTGTGTGAGCCAAAAAAAAAATATTAACACTTTGAGAACAGGCAGTGCACTGCAGAGGAATTGCCAAAAGTCCAAGTAACATAAAAATATTTGCAATCTTACTAATAGTTAAAGAAATAAAAATTTAAACCATAATATGGTATCATATTTGCCAATTTAAAAAATACAGTAAGCCACGTGTTTTATGGACATGGAAAAACTGGAAATCCTATTTTGGCTGTTGGGAGTGTAAACTGGTTCTGCTAGTTCGGAGAATAATTAGGCAAGTTCCAGTAAAGAGGAAGATGCCAATTACTTTGGCCTGTCAATTTTAGTCCCAGAGAATGCTGGAGCATGTTTACAAGAACTTGTGTAAAAATGTTCAGTGTAAACTTATATGTCAGGGTAAAAAACTGGAGACTTTCTAAGTGTACATGAAAAAGAGAATGACTATAGTGTTGGAGAACACAATTAAATGTTTATACAAAAGTGAAAATGAGTGTGAACAGCTTGATAGCATAAGAATAAATAAATCTCCCAAACAATCTCTCTATATAAAAGGCTAATATACAAATTGTCCCCTTGGGAGTTTGACCGGGAGACTGGGAGTTGAATCGCTTGCTATGATGTGTGCTGACCACCTGGGGGTAGTGCGGAATGAAGAAAGGCCCTAGTCAGCAGCTGGAAGGCCCCATCGGCCCTGATTGCTGGCCAGGCCTAGGGACCCTACCCATGCATGAATTTCATGCACCAGGCCTCTAGTTTTAAGATAAAAAGACAAGCTGTAGATGGTATGTACAATATTGGCAGCATTTACATAAAATTTAAAAATATGAAAAACAATACTAAATACACATATGGGATACATATATGGGAAAACTATGTAGTAACCAAGTCATGGGCATGAGAAGTAACCAATTCAAGACAAAGGCAGGAAGAGTCAGGGGTCATGGTGGCTACAGTGAGTTTCAACTTCACAATATTTTGTTTCATGAGCTGGCAGGTGAACACATGGGTGTTCATTATATTGGTCTCTGAAATATACACAATATACACAAAACCTTATCTTTTTGCCACAGCTCTTAAAACAGCAATATGCAGTACTATGGCACGAAACAAGATGCCTTGTGAATCTAATAGAAGCACTATTGGAAGAGTAGACAGATGCAAAGGTATACTATGTACTAAGGTATAGTATGTACTATTTGCCTTGTTATATAGAGGGAGACTGTGTGTGATTATCTTTGCTGATTATAATAGAATAAGAGAAACTGTAATTCTATAGATGTATTCCGGGTGCCAGGGAATCTGTTGACTTTCTGTAATAAAGATTTGACATATAGAATCACCATTATGAGTGGTACCACTGTGTGGTTAAGTTTGCAATAGTCCACTGCAACAGCGATTTTCAACCAGTGTGTCGTAAGAATTTTTAAAACATGCAATACCTATTTAGTCAGAGGCACTAACCACTTCCTCCTTAGATGGTCAAATAAAAAAATGACAATAACCAACACAATAGTAGCCATCCAATGTGAATGAATCAAAAGCATACCTACTTTTTGTCAGATTGGGACAAAAATATATTTTTTGGTGTGCTGCAGAATTTTAGTAATTGGTTTATGTGTGCCATGAGATGAAAACGCTGAGAATTGCTCGCTGGTCTACAGTTATTATCCATAAACCATTTAGCGTTTACACTAGCTAAATAGACAAGGTAAATAGGGATGGGTCACAATTACGACCACTGAATTTTGTATTGATTGTAACATAAATTTCGGTAGTATCCCAGTCACTTAAATTTCTTTTTGGCTTATTATCTTGCTAGTTTCATGGACTTCCACTTGGCCCTGGCTACCATGATAGCTCTAAATCTTTGGGTCAGAAAACCAATGTAGTGAATTTGAGACTTTCTAAGTGTATTGATTTTTTTAAAAATATGTTTTTATTGAATTTTTTAGAGGGAAAGGAAAAGAGCTGGATAGAGAGATAGAAATCTTGCTAAGAGTAAAACACCAATTGGCTGCCTCCTGCATGCAACTGGGGATCGAGCCAACAACCCGGGTATATGCCCTGACTGGGAATTGAAAGTGTGACCTCTTAGTTCATGGCCGATGCTCAACATTGGCCAAGCTAAGTGTATTGATTTTTACTCCATCTTTTGGAACTGGAGAATTACCCATGGCATCAGTCTGCAGTCCTACTGCTGCTACTCTGAGATGCACTTGGGCCAGGACTTTATTATCTTGACCTTTCTAAGATTTATTCTGATCTATGTGCTATGGTAGTATTTGAGGTCTTTGGAGATCAGCACTAGTTTTAAGTCCAGATCTAATAAACCACAAAAATCTTTTTCCACTCCTGCCAGTTACCTTGATAGATAGCCCGGGTTCCTTTGCGTGAAGGCTTAACAAAAAGTTCATGGAATGTGTTATGATGGCATTGCTGGGTCCTTTCTCTAGGGCAGTGATGGCGAACCTTTTGAGCTCGGCGTGTCAGCATTTTGAAAAACCCTAACTTAACTCTGGTGCCATGTCACATATAGAAATTTTTTGATATTTGCAACCATAGTAAAACAAAGACTTATATTTTTGATATTTATTTTATATATTTGAATGCCATTTAACAAAGAAAAATCAACCAAAAAAATGAGTTCCCATGTCACCTCTGACATGCATGTCATAGGTTCACCATCACTGCTCTAGGGACATAGCCATGGCCTCCCCCTCAACTGGGGGAGCCAAATACATGAATTAATTTAGGTCTAGTCAGTGACTGGGTAAGTGTTTTTGAATTATCACTTTAGCAAATTCTTTCATGTTTCTGCCAACAGACTTAGATATGTTCATATTTTAAATTATCATTGGGATCGGCATCTTCCCCTGTCATCTTTGTCCTATGAACACCAGCCAAAACAGAGCTCTTCTAGGCTACAAGTGCATACACTCATCAATGGATTGCTTAATGCCTAAGTGAAGGAAAAATTTTGTTTTAAAAGCTTTGAATACATTTATTCCTAAGTTGCACAAAAGCTTTTAGCACATGTTACCAATTATGATGACTAAAGAATTTATTAGATTCAGCATTATATTTTTAATTTATAGTTCATAGATACTAAATGTACTGCTTTTGTTACCTGGTTTTCTTTATTCAGATATCCTCAAATTGAATGGATGAAAGAGGACATAGTCAATAGAAGATTTTTTCAAAATTTATTTGATCATTTAGAAAAAAACAATGACATTTTTACAGTAGTTTTTAAGTGGAGTCACTTTGCTCTTGAGATGAAGAATCAGCCTTAAAATGTGTTTTATTTTATTGAAGAAGGGCATTGACAGGTGGCCTGGCATTTTGCTTTTGTGATTTTGTCATCACACCCTACTTTTCTGACCAAATAGTCACAATTCGATATCTTATCCGCCTTCATGCAGGAATTGGCTAAAATGAAATAAAAAGTAAATTAAATGCTGCTTCTTGGATTGAAGTATTAGTTATCCAAAACTATATTATCTCAGGGGAAACCCGTTTATTCTTTATATATTCTATTATTCAAAGCTCACCACACACATGGGAGTTAATAGTCTTAAACTGCTTAATAAATATACCTGATGTGGCAGACAGAGAGTTCACACACCCAGAACTTCATGACATCAAATAAATTTCACTATCATGTTCCAACAAGGTGCATAGTAACAAATTAACAAAATAAAATAATTTTTTTATTTGTAACAATATATTTCAGGCGCTACTTATTTAGCCCTGTGGGTATGAGTGCTACCATATCTACTTGTGAAATGAATAGATTGTACAAAGGGGCAAGGGCAGCAAATGGAAGACAAATCCTACTCATACCCCATTTACCAAGCCATACAAATGATTAGTATCCTATCCCAGCAGTAGCTCTGGTGTGTATATTTATATGTGTATGTAGTATCTGGGGATTCCTAGAAGACTGGCAGGAACATTTAATGCATGTGCTTGAAGCAATCCAAAGTTCTTTTGTAGGTGCCTGCTTCCCAGGAAATGCAGCTGTGAGGAAGGAAGCAAGTGACGTAGTTGGCAGAATATGTGAGTGTATGCTAGTGTGTGAGTGTGACTGTGTGTGTGTGTGTGTGTGTAGGGGTGCTCATACTGAGGAGAACAACATGAAGTTTCCCTTTGTTTTATCCCCTGGCTTTTATTTAGGAGCAACAGCAAATCAAGCCTGAGCCTCTCTGTGGTTGTATAGTGAGTTTCAAATAATTTTGCTTTTCACCACCCTGACTGAGAACTGACAACTAGAAGGCCTTATAGGGCAATTTCACCTCCACACTGGCATGGTTTATTTTGCTTTGCATGACTACCTCGAAGTCTATCTTAATTTAGTAGTCACCACTCTCAAATGGCAGCTGAATGTACCACTTTCATTTTTAGCTCTCTCTTTTTTTAAAAAAAATATGTTTTTATTGATTTCAGAGAGAGGAAGGGAGAGGGTGAGAGAGGAGCATCAATAATGAGAGAAAATCATTGATCAGCTGTCTTCCGCATGCCCCCCATTGGGGATCAAGCCTGCAACCTGGACATATGCCCTGACTGGGGATCAAACCATGACCTCCTGGTTCATGGGTCAATGCTCAATCACTGAGCCACACCAACTGGGCTTTAGCTCCATTTTTATTGCCAAGATCAAAAAGACTGAAGTAGGAAGCGGGGGGTGGGGGGCAGAAACAGAATGAGGTCATTCATATATCAGGGAAGATTCTGAGACTGTTATACTCAGCAAGGTCATGTCCATGTAGACATCAGAACATAAAGATGCAGAATGAATAGTACTTACTGCAAAGCCCATTATCACAATGATGAGGGCAGTCTTGACATGGTCTCCCTCTTTTGTATGGGGTCCTGATGGTATTAAAGTGGTTCCCGCTGGCAATGGAATATTTGAGAGACAGAAGCAGTGACAACATGAAGAAATACAGGATCGTGCCATGGGAGTAAAATACATAGCAAGAGTCATATGTTATAAAAGGGAGACATTTATGAAGGTTAGGTCTACAAAGACAATTTTAAGGTAAATTGGTAGGATTCAAATATATGCAGAAAAAAGGAGATGGGGTTCCACCGTCTTCACAGTAAATCAAAGGTATGCCACCAGAAGAGAGGTTTGTAGCAAGGTTCCTAAGAATTTTTGGATTCGGCATCTCACAGAGTATTTCTTACTTCTGTACTAGATGAATTTTTATTTAATTGAGAATCTAATATGTGCCATGAGCTATGCTAAGCACTTAAAATAGCTTATTATGTCTATTTCTCAGAAAAAAAAACACTGCAAGAAATGTATTGCTATTGTCTCTTTTAGATAAGGAAAAAGGAGCTCCAAGTTGCTAAGTTATTGGTGAACTGAAGGTCACACAACTAGTAAGTGACAAAGCCAACATTTATTCTTGAACCTTGTGGACCACAGAGCCCATTCTTTCTGGACTTTGCTACCAATATCTCCATGGCTCTTTCAACCCTTAGAATGCACTGCTTGGCCTTTCCAGTCCTTCCAATTTTCTCCTTTCTTCAAAACCACCCTCAAAGCTCTCCATGAAGCTACCTTAGAACCTCAGATGGATGAAAGGAGTTGGATTATAGCTCAAGGTGCAGGCCATTTGGCCTACCATATGCCCGAAGTGGCCCTTTGGGCTATACTTACGCAGGGCAATAATGGCAAACATAGTAATACTGAAGTTTGCTGTGAGGACAGTGGGCTAATGCACAGCCAAGTTGGTGGGAAGTGGCCCAAACGAGCTGTAAGAGAAAAGTTTAAAATAATCATTTTAATTAAGTTCATGCTGTTCACATTGTAGGGCTTGTTTCTTAATTGCTTATTAGACGTTATCAATGAAGGGAATTTTAAAACCTGAAAAATGTTGCTTTCAGATTTTTTAAATTTATAAACTTGAGTATTCTTTTAAAATATCTCTTCCAGGTATGGGACCTCATTTAACATCCAACAAACTTTATATATGCATGGTACCTTTGTTATAACAGTGAATCACACTTAAATTCATAAATATGTGGACAATGGCATGCTGGGCAATAAGGGGATAGTCACTTAAAGGCAATTTGATTTTTGCAGGAAAAAAGAAGAAACTATTGATCTTGGTGTGTGTGTGTGTGTGTGTGTGTGTAGATAATCTTAGGGGCCCAATATATATAATACAAAAATACTTATTTAATGACTAAAACTAACTTGCATATATGAGTTAATTTTTTTATTATTTTTCTCTTCAGTGTTTCATCCTCTTATAGTCTAGAGAAAATAGCTTGAGACTTGTTCAAAGTGTTGCTTAAATATAATTAAAGTCATTCATCACTTTATTCTCAGAGCTGTCATTTAAAAAATCCGTTGTGGTAAATTGAGATCACAATAAGCAGATGAAGTTGGTGGGTACCCAAGAGATAATGGGTTGATGTTTATGTACATTAATGGGTAGCACATACTTTGTAAAGTAGGGCAGCTTTTACACTCACATATAGGTTGCATAGCTAAGATGTATGCTTAGCATCTCCAGAATAAACTGCACAGAAAAAATAATTCTGGGAGGGTAGTGGACAAAAAACATTAAACTTTTGTCATTACATTTTTACCTGGGTGTAATGGCCAGTTACAGCATTTGCTCGAGTACCTCCATATCCATATTTGAAATCTTTAACTTCATCGTAAAGAGATTGGATTGCATCTGACCATGATTTGGGACTACTGGACATGTATAAATTCTCTCCACAACCAGTGGCTAAAAATTAGAAAAGACAATGAAACAATAGTGAAACCAGTAGTTTCAAATAATTCTCATCGAAAACTATCAGAATATTATATTTTAGTTTTTGTGATCAATATCACCTTCCAAATCTTTCACTGACTGATTGGAGAAATCTAATTTCAATTTCCAAAGCTCAGTTCTATGAATTGGAATCACTCCCTCCCGCCCACATATGACTAGCTTTTTAAAAATATGTAAATAATGATTCATTTTCAAGCTGATGGTGTAGGTTAACACAGTCACAGATGCCATTTTTGGCAACACTAGTAAATGAATTAACAAACAGCAAGTATTTATTATTATCTGCTATGCCTTCATAGTATGCATATAGGGGACATGATTTTGACCTTCTGCTCTTTAGCTAGAGAATTAAGAGGAGCACATGTGAAGCAGACAGCAAATAGACCAGACATAAGATGGTATATCCTGTGGGAAAATGAAATCAAAGCCATGAATGCAAGAGTGGTGACGAGGAGGCCCATCAGATTTTAGCAAAAAAGTGTAAGACAGGTTTTGGTATGGTGGGCTTGCAGAGTGAAGCAAACTGAGGACCTTGAAAGTAAGGTAGAGAGTTAATTCTTCATGAACATAATTTACACTTATGCCCTGGAAAGTTATATTAAAATAAATAATTCTTTTCACCAGGAATTTATAGTCTGGTAAATTTGACTACAATGTAATAAGTGAGAAGGGTTTTTTGTTGTTGTTTTTTTAGATTTCAGGAATAAACTTGGCATGTGACTAAATAAGAATGGTGAGTATCTACATGAACTGAAGTTCAGAAAAAAAAATTTAAAACAATGTTTTTTTGTTGTCTCCTCCTCCTTCCCCCATAGCTTTTGCCTTGGATCTCTAACTTAGAGTCATTTTCTTTTTTCTTCTTTTTTCTTGGAGTAGCAGGAGTAATGACATTTTAGGGCAAGAGTTTTTTAAAAAAAGAAAACAAAGGAATATAAGAGAAGCAAAAGATGACATTTTAGGGCAAGAGTTTTTTAAAAAAAGAAAACAAAGGAATATAAGAAAGGAAGCAAAAGGAAGCAAAGTTCCTGTGTGAGAGGATAGGTCATGACGTTAAAACCAACAGACAAAATCTCCATCACCATTCCCAAGCTGCCATAGCTCACCACTTCAGTGAATTTTAGCTTAATTTTTGGTTTTTATTGATTGATGAAGTGTGACTTACAACTGATTCGTCGTTCAGATGAAGGACTGTGAGACAAGGTACACTTGTTTGCCCAGTTTGCAGCATTCCTCGCAACTGCGTCATTCCATGTCTTGATGTAAATGACAAACATTTGAAAACATATAAAAATATTATGTATTCATGACACAATCATGATGTATATGATCACATTTAAAACAAATGCATATTAGATGAATTGTTTTCTAGTATTTCTTATTTTTCCATTGTTCTACCGAAAGATACATTTCTTGCTTTTCTAAATCACTTAATTATAAGGAAGCATATTACCATATTGGGTCACAGATTAAATATTTTAGGGAAAAAATATTTTAAACCCAATTAGTTGGATAAGCACAGCTTGGGGCTATGGATATTTAATTAGAAATGAGAACTAAGTATGTGCTGTTTTTCTCAAAATGTCTGTTGCCTTTGTCCCAGTCTTCATGTACATTAATATATTGCCAGATGCTATAACAAGCATTAATAAGTTTGTGCTGTACTAAATAAAATAAAACAGGGTGAAGTACAAAATATGTGGAAAAATAAATGTCTACCCTTATCTCATATGCAAAAATAGGAAAGATATAGGAAAATAAATCCAAATAGGAATTGAGTGTTATCATCATTCAGATAAGTTAAACCAAAATTGCTATACATTACTTTCTAGAGAGAGGGGGAAAAGTTCCAATCTAAGATGAAGAGATGTTCAGAACAGAGCAGACAGCCTGTACCTTTGAGAAGGCAATGTCAGTTAGCTATTATGGTCAGGAGGTATTTGTCCTGTACATTGGGTACAACACACTTCCTCAGAAATAAAGCTAAACATACGGGTCAGTAGAAAAATTCCTTCCTATAGCCTAGATCAGTGATGGCGAACCTTTTGAGCTCGGCATGTCAGCATTTTGAAAAACCCTAACTTAAATCTGGTGCTGTGTCACATATAGAAATTTTTTGATATTTGCAACCGTAGTAAAACAAAGATTTCTATTTTTGATATTTATTTTATATATTTAAATGCCATTTAACAAAGAAAAATCAACCAAAAAAATGAGTTTGCGTGTCACCTCTGACATGCGTGTCATAGGTTCGCCATCACTGGCCTAGATTTAGCAACAACTTTCATAGTATCTCAGCAATGGCATGAACCAGAAAGATCATGGATTCTTTCTCATTTATTATAGGACTCTCTTCTAAAAAAATATACATTTTGTCTGCAATGGAAGTATATGTTCAGTACCTCCTAAGACAGCTAATTTCTAAATAGACTTTTTAAAAAAAATCTCTTGAGGCATATACAGTATAACTTTCAAATACCTATGATTTGTTAATTCTAGCTCAGCCCTTTGAGGAAATTCAGAACACATTTAATTCATCATATGATAGCACTTTAAATACTTGAATGGGAAGAGAAACAGTAACTACTTTTTACTGAACATCTCAGATGTTAATGGTATTTTATTTACAATAGCATTTCTATACTGATCCTCACAAAGGTTAGCAAAGTTTAATGATCATTTCCACTAATCGCCAAGAAAGCTGAGGCTCCTTCAGATTAAGTAATTAGCCCAGAGTCAGTGATCATATTCTCCTGGGATAATATTTAGTTTAAATACCTCAGACTGCCTCACCTTTCAGTTTCCAGGCTCCCCACCATGCTAATCAACACTTTCTGTGTATGCTCCCTTTCATAATGTATTGCCTAAACCAGTGATGGGGAACCTTTTGAGCTTGGCATTTCAGCATTTTGAAAAACCTTAACTCTGGTGCCGTGTCACATATAGAAATTTTTTGATCTTTGCAACCATAGTAAAATGAGGACTTATATTTTTGATATTTATTTTATATATTTAAATGCCATTTAACAAAGAAAAATCAACCAAAAAAATGAGTTCGCGTGTCACCTCTGACACGCGTGTCAGAGGTTCGCCATCACTGGCCTAAACCCATACACATTCTATAACATATGACCTGACCATAGCTGAAGAGCAGTGTTACCCTCTTAACACGTTTATTAATATTAATAGTAGGAAGAAAGCAAATGGAAGGTCAGACATTATAGGCATGGTCAACTGGGCAGCTTAACCAGGAAGCTGCAACTTTGCACTCCCCAGGGAGCCATTCTCTGCAAATCACTGGGGGAAGGAAGCTGGGCACATGTGCAGTGAAGTTGGGGTGATGTAGGGAAGGTACTAACTTGGGGAAAAGATAATTGGCTAAAAAGGCAGAGACACTGCAAACAAGTGAAGTCCTGAAGGGTTGATTGGTTAAGCTCCTGGTTATAATCCCCAGACAAAGAATTCTCTCTTTCTTGTTCCTCTTGCTTGTTTGCTCTTATGCTCTTGCTCCCTTGTTTTCTCTTGCTCCTTGACCATCACTCACTGTGCACCTCCAAAGCCATGTAGATTTATCAGCTGCATGGCCCATGGCCATAGGGACCCTACAGGCAATGGACTGCAGCTGGAAACACAAGCTGACCTAGCCAGATGCTGGACTGCACCGGACTGTGCTTTAATATGGGGCAGAAATGCTAGGCAGTGGCTTAAATTCTAGCTCTGATGAAGATAAGGCTGGACTTTTTCCATGGTGAGATGAAGGGAAATGAGACCTTGGAAACCCAGGGGTTTAATTCCATGCAAGTAAATAGCACTCGTTTTCCTGTACGAGTCTCAGAAAATTCCTTTTCTCATGACATCATAAGAATTCCACTTCCACCAGTAGCAGGTGGGAACACAGAGGGTACCCCACCAATAACAGAAAGAATATAATTTTTAGACCTATACACCATATTTTATTATATAGTTTAAGTTTTTATTAGTTGTTTAGCATCTAATTACTCAAGTAATATAATTTACAAGGCTTCTTTCACTGCCTATTAATTATACTTTCATCCTTTATTGAGAGAGTCAATGTTTTCCAGTTCAAATGCAGTGTTACATTTAACTACCAACCAATGTGATAACTTTTCTAGGGAAATAAAGAGATTAGAGTATTTTACATAGATAGATCGTAGTTTAATATTCATTGTTACGTGGTTAGATGCTAATTGATAACAATCTATCAATCAGACAGGACTTACCATTTTAAGCATGTTGCTGGCACTGGGACTTGCCATCCTTCTAAGGTCATTGTGCTTATTAATAATCTCCATTTGGACTGATGGACGTTGAGTCAAAAAATTGAAAACTGAGGTATTTGACTTTAAAATGAAGCAAAAAGTAAGAACAATGTTACAATATTGAAAATCAAGATAATGAAACAACTGATTTATTTCAACATGGAAGTTAAAAAAAATGTTGAGTTTTGTGTTCTTCGACTTTATCATCAAACTCACCCAGAGGGCTTGTTAGCATACAGATTGCTGGGCTCCACCCTGCAGAGTTGTTGTTTTTTTTATTTTTAAATATATTTTTATTGATTTCAGAGAGGAAGGGAGAGGGAGAGATAGAAATATCAATAATGAGATGAAATCATTGATTGGCCTCCTCCTGCAAGCCCCCCACTTGGGATTAATCCCACAACCTGGGCATGTGCCCTTGACTGGAATCAAACCTGGGACTCAGTGGATAGAGAGCAGGCCGACACTCTATCAACTGAGCCAAACCAGCTATGGCCACCCCTCAGAGTTTTTGATTCAGGAAGATTAGGTAGGGCCAACAAGTTCCCAGGGACCATAATTTGGTAGTCTACTAGTAAGTCATAGAATTTTTGTGGGGAACTTGAAAGTGTCCTTTTGAATATCAACATTTGCTTTGCCTTTAACAATAGATTAATTGATCCATAAACCTGTTTACACATGACCTTATCTGATAACATGAAAGAATTTAAAGCCATATCAGCAGCCTAATTAGTACCAGAAAGTTCCAATAGAACAAAACAACAGTACCTGGAATTCTGCAAAACCAAAATTTGAGCTAAATGATATCCAGCAAAAATATTTACTCACACTTCAGAAAATTTTAGGATATATGTATAGAGGCCTGGTGCACAAATTTGTGCATGGGTGAGGTCCCTTGGACTGGCTGGCAATCGAGGCCAATTGGGGCCAGCAAGCCAGGAGGAGGGACCACAGGAGGTTGGCCAGCCATGGGAGGTTGGCTGTGGGAGTGCACTGACCACCAGGGGGCAGCTCCTGCATTGAGCATCTGCCTCCTGGTAGTCAGTGAGTGTTATAGCAACTGGTTGACTGGTCATTTGGTCAACTGGTTGTTCGGTTGACTGGACATAACAGTCACTTCGGCTTTTATATATATAGATAATATTATATATATGACTGTAGTATATTGATATATTATTTAGATGAAAAAATATGCCCTAACCGGTTTGGCTCGGTGGATAGAGCATCAGCCTGCAGACTGAAGGGTCCCGGGTTTGGTTCCGGTCAAGGACATGTACCTTGGTTGTGAGCACATCCCCAGTAGGGGGTGTGCAGGAGGCAACTGATCAATATTTCTTTCTCATTGATGTTTCTGGCTCTCTATCCCTCTCCCTTCCTCTCTGTAAAAAATCAATAAAATATGTGTGTGTGTTTTTAAATATGTGGTGTATCTGCCAACTATATTCAGTATCTTGTAAAGATTATGAATTGTGTGCACACTTATTTTTAAGCCAACCTCAAAAATTATCCTTTTCTGTCTTAATAAGAGCATAATTAGAAGGCAGTGTATTTTTTTTAATGAAAAAATTATGCTGAAAGAAACCCTGGAAATCATTTAGTAAATTCTACTCTGGTTCTTCTCTGTTTACTATGCCACTGGACTAGTGCCCTCTCTACCCTTCTCTGCCCCATCCCCTGGCCTGGAGCTGACCCTCTGGCCTGCACCACCTGGGCTCCCTTGTCTTGTGCTTTCTGGATGGATTGATCCAAAGAGAGGCACAGGGAAAACAGAGGGTGGGAAGAAGTAGAGGTCACAGCTTTGTCTGCCCACTTCCTTCTTACTTTCACACTCCATCTCTGGGAGGAGATAGCTCCATTTTGATCCTGGTGTTATTTCTTCCTTTAGTCCAGCAGGCCTAGCAATTAAAAGGCTTTCCATGGCCACTAGTAGCTATTTTGTTCCTTTAACCCTGATCCTTCCTCTATAAATATTGCTTTGTTACTGCTCATTCATTAAAAGCATCTGTGTTGAAGAAAGAAATGGTAATTATGTGATAAGATGGAGGTATTAGCTATGGTGGTAATCATTTTGTAGTATGTAAGTGTATCAAATCATTACTGAGACAATTTAAATTACACAGTTATGTGTCAATTATCCTATATAATAAAAGCCTAATATGCTAACTGTCCGTTGGCCATTCAGCCAATCAAAGCATAATATGCTAATGATATGCTAAGGCCACTCAGCCACTCGCTATGATGAGCACTGACCAGCAGGGGGCAGACAGTTGACTGGTTGACCAGTCGCTATGATGTGCACTGACCACCAGGGGGCAGACGCTCTGTCTGGTAGGTTAGCTTGCTGTTGGGGTCCAGCTGATCGTGACTGAGCAAGACGGGCTGGACATGCCCTAGAGCCCTCCCACAGTCCCTCCGCAACTGGCCAACCTCCCATGACCCTCCCTGGCCCTGATCATGCACTGGTTTGGTCCCTTGGCCTAGCCTGCACCATCTTGCAATCTGGGACCCCTTGGGTGATGTCAGAGAGCTGTTTTTGGCCAGGCAGAGAGACCCTACTGGTGCATGAATTCTTGCACCAGGCCTCTAGTATCTCAATAAAGCTGGAACAACACCAAACAAGACATCTGTGTTGAATTCCCTGTCTAGACTCTGAGTGAAAAAAAGCTCTCTTATTTTCACCCATTAATAAAACCGAAAATCAGAAAGGTTAGCTGAATTATGTAAGGATCTCTTTTTTCATTGTAGCCTAAAGCCGATTACTTTAAATTTGGAAGTGCAAGTTAATAAATAGACAACATATCCCTTGTGCTGATAGGTTCTATTTTAATAATGAGAGCAACATATGATAGCTACCATCATTTCCTTAGAAAATAGCTTCCACATTAAGCATTTCGCTATTAGTACACTCATGTGTCTTTCTTACTTTTTGGATCTATTGATGATCTTTTTAACCCCTGGTTGCTTACTGCAACCTTTCACTTAGACATCACCTAGCACTCACCTTCTCATATGCACTAGTATTGCCTTTCCAATTACAACATTAACAAAACCAGCAGTAAAAACAGTGATTTATGGTTTCAAGTGCTGTGTGGACAGTGAGAGCTGAGTGTCAAAAATACCTTTAAATATATAGCTCACACCATTGACAAAAGAAGTCAAAGCAAAGAATAACTGAGATCCTTGGAGGGTGCAATGGATTTTCTGGAAGTCAACACACTGTGAGTACTAAGTAGTTGATTCATTACAATCAACCCTGGTGATGCTCATAATAAGGTCACATTTTCTTTCTTTGCATCTTCTTTTAATATGTAAAATAATTTTAATTTTTACACTTCATGGAAGTACTATTATAGAATTCAGTTCTCAAAGCAATGCATTGTGGTAAGATTTATTATCCCCACTGAGAATTGAAATAAAAAACTAAAAAACAAGGTTCAGGGATATTCCAGACCAGATAAACCACTCCTTAGTTGGCATTCCCCAGAATAAATGGCTACATTGACTAAAATTGTATGCCATTTTAGAGACTAGGACCCTGAAAATTAAATATGTTAAAGTTCTCCGATCTAAACTTATAAAATCATGTGAGCCAAAAACCCAGAACTTGAACCAAATTCTCTGACACTAACTAAATCTCAGGGTCTTTCTAAGTTGACTAACTGGCCCTGGAATACACTGCTAGAACTAAGGAAATAGCACTTCTAAACTTTAGACTAGGAAACAGCATTTCCAAACTTTCAGCTTCTTCCCATGTGTTAACACCAATCACTCCACGTGGTTGGTGACTATACTAAGAAAGCTTTGTAGGCATATAACTCAATGAAACTTGTTTTTACTTATCTTCTTTTGAGAAATATGAAAGTTGCATTATTCTTTTTGGTTTCCTCAAATAACTTGCTAGTCTGTAAAGAAGATTCAGTTCTTTAGAAGTAAAACACGATCCCTTTAAGTAAATACAAAGCCAAATTAATAAGAATCACTCAGTCTCAAGGGTGTATTCTACCTTCCTTTTTCCTGCTTGGTCTTATAGTCCACATGCCAAGACTTCTCTCGCAAAGAGGATAAAAGGAGGTGGAACCTTATAAGCCAAATTTTGCGCTGCTTGATTGAATTTCCCCACTTACTAATATGAGGGATATGGCTTTCTCCTCTCAAAGCTTTCCCTTTCTCCTCTCACGTTACACTTGCTTCTCAACCTGCTGCACTCTGTCTTCTGTCCTCACCACCCCGCTGAACTGGCATTTGCCAAGATCATCACAACCTCATCGGTGGTAAATCTAATGGAAACTTCTTCTTTACCTTACCTCTCTAGGTGGCACTGGGGAATGTTGCATACATTCTTCTTGCCCTTGGCTTTGTGATGCTGCTATTTCTTCTCTTTCTTCTCACCCTCCTTCCCTTTCAGCTTCCCTTTCTCTGGTTCACCCTTAAATTTTGGTATTCTGCACAATTCTTTCCCTTTTCACTTTATAGTTTTTCCACTTTTGTGGTTTCTTTCCATGGCCACTTTTGTAGTTTCGATGCCACATGTATGCCAATGATCCCTAGACCTCTTATCTCCAGCTCAGATCCTATCCACGCTTCACCTGAAACCTACCTGCCCCAGAGGAATTCATCCTTGGCTTCTCTCAGAGCCTGATTATCATCAGGTGCTTCCCATTCCAGGGGGTGTCATCACTAATCTCCCAGGGATACAAAACAGATATTGCCACCTTCTCCTCAACTTCTATGTCTAACCCTTGTCTGTCCTGTGGCTTCTAACATAGATTGGAGAAGTAGCCAAATCGTGTTTTGGAATTAGTTCCTCATTCTCAGAATTAAGTACAGGCCACGATCATAGTTTATCACCTACAATACTGAACAAGTTCCCAACTAGTCTCTCTGCCTCCAGTCTTGCTCCTTGCCATGTGATAGAGTGATCTTTCTGAAATGCAAATCTCTCTATCACCCTCTATTCAGACCCTCCCTGATTGCATTTTTTTAAAATTACTTATAAGGCCCGTGGGACCTGGGCCTGCTCTTACTACTCCAGCCTCATGCCCTATTGCAGTGGTTCTCAACCTTCTGGCCCTT